ATTCTGACTACAGCACGATTGATTTTTTTTTCATACTCAAGTAATAGTTCTAACCGTGAACAAGTCCACACACGTCTCCTGTCACCCGTGTACAATATTGGCCTATATTCTTTTGAACCACGCCATTTTATCGGATACTTTCAGGAGTCGGAATCAAAAGCATTCTTCTTCCATTACACTGATAAGCAGGCTGATTAACCATAAATACGAAAAAAGCTAAAAACGTTGTCTAAAAATGGGTGACTTTTATTCTTTTTTCATATTTTGCTTCTTTTTTGTTCATTATTTTTCGCACTATTTACTGCATTTTTTGAGAAAATGAAAGTTCCAGACGACGGATGTCAAGCACGTGCGCACGTGAAAGCTACCTTTAGGCTTTATATCTAGCATAAACGCAAGCCAAGCATGACTGTCGTGTTTATTACACATGCTACATCTCACACAAGAATTAGGCAAGAAAGGAACATTTCAACACTGTGTTATGTTTTTTTTTTCTTTCAAAAAAAAAAAAAAAAAAAATCTGCGTTTCTAACAAGGCCAAGTCGTCAACAAAACGCAACAATGTAAAAATCAGTGCATAGAAAATTCATTACTCAATCGAATAAATGTATAAACAAATCACTTACTACATGTATGATGGTGCAGTTCTAAAAATGTTAGACTTTGTGTATATTTAAAAAAAGAACAATTTCTTTTGGAATTGTTTCTTTTAAAAAAAAAAAGTACAGGTAAATAAACCAACGTATGCAATCATCAAGATATCATCGTCGGTGGTGCAGTCTGTATCTTCTCGAATTAAAACCAAACTACCTTGTTTGAGGTTCTCCTAGTTTCTATATCTCCCTTTTTCATGTTCGTGTGTTTAAAATATTTATATGTTGGTTCGAAGATGATAAGTACAAGTCAATGTACCAATGCCTTCGTGCGTCTTCGATTCAGAACCAATCTTCAATGCTTACTGAGGAACGAGGAACTTTAATAGGTTACCAGGTTCTGTAGGTTAGAGTAGGGGCTAAGAATAGGGGTAAGCTGGTAAAGGCAGAAGAGGAGGCAGCAGTTGAGAACCACGAGGCTTTGAAACTAATGTGACTGATATGGCATAGGAACCCGCTAGGAGCCGTAGTTCGTTCCCCATTACTTTGTATAGGTGAAGTTAAGCCCCCAATTTTGATTCCGATACTTCCAGCTTATCTTTACCAGTACTCATCATATGGTACCACGGATTTCTATTCCCACAACGAACATTCTTGGCGCACCTGCCCCGTGACACCGGTCTTAAGTTTGAATAAAAATCACACGCTAGCAATAACAGCAAGATGTACAGTGGCCTACACTGTATTAATTAAGACACTTTCTAACTAGTGTAGGTATATATATCGCAATAACAAGAAAATGATATGTTAAGACGAGTGAGGAAAGTATCCATTTGAACATTTGGGGGAGGGGGGTTGGGGGGGGGGAGGGGGCGGCAACAACACCCACAGGGTGATGTAGGCTATTTCAGCTAGCAAGCAAAGGGTCTGTAATGTGATTAGGTGATCTTCACCGTCTTAGGCGTGTTCATGTGAAGTTTCTACGAACACAAGTATCGCGTGCTTTCCACTAAAAGCCGAAGAAAACGATAAGGTTCATTCATGCGTCTGAATTGATTGCTCATCCGATCCTGTTACCAAAGGAAACATAGGCTAATTCAGACATTAATGAGGCTTTAATGGGGTTCTCTCCATTTCTTTACTATTTTATCTGATCTGGGTAAACCAAGCAAAAGGCTAGATGTACTTGTTAGCACGATATCGATGGTAAAGGGTGAAAGACCCTTGCTAACAGCCATGCATCTGCACTTTTACTGT